TAGAGAGGGCTGAAAGCCCTATGAAGCGGTATATAAGTCTAACTGCTATTGCTATTGCTACTACTTTTTTTCAAAAAAAAAAAATCACAATGCATCACACATGGAACTTTTTAAAAAGTTTTTCACTGTTTAATACACAAATGTCAATACTTGAGAATCTTCTCCCTTCCCACCCACCCGCCTTTCAAATTCTCATTCAGAACATTACAATAAAATCAAGTAATGGCCTGAGCAGATTTAGCAGCCAAAAAAGCTTGCTAAATGGCAGCTCAGATTGGCAGGAGCTTTAGTGCCCTGTGCCAAGGAAGCTCCTTTGTAGAGGAAGGAAATTACCTCTTGAGTATCTCATCTGGACGTAGATTGTCATAGAATGAGCTGGCTCCATTCATTTTACTAAGGAAGGCTCATTTTACCTGAAGGAACCCAGCACTGACAATGTTAGCAAATTCTTTCCTCTATAACTTAAAATATATCATCTGGAACATAGTTAAGCTATGTTGTTAAAAAATGATGGAGGGATGACACACACAATATGCTCCTAAAAATAGAAAGTGCCTTCTACCAAGGACAAATCATTGATCCATCTAACTCAGCAGAGTCTACATTGATTGACAATTTCAGCATGCAAAGGAAGTGCAGATCCATTCTTGTGAGAAGCTTCAGAATGCAATCACATTTATTTGAATGCCTCCCTTTCTCTTCCTTTTGTTGTACTTCTTCCCCTTCTGTTTCTTGGACACAGCTTTTATTTCTGCAAAGAACAGACTAATTACGCTACACAAAGAAAACAATGTTGTAGGTGGGCTAGCAGGAGATGAGCCAGGAACCAGAAGCTTGAGGTGAAGCTGGGAATCCTGAGTGAACTGGAAAATCAAGAGGGCAGCCAAAGGATCCAGGAGGAGCTCAGAAAAATGTCATCCCAAAAGAAGGATTTAATGATCAACTTCAATGAATGGGGGGGGGGGGCAGTCCTGATTTGAGAGTATGTTTGTATAGGGTCAATTGTTCTGACCCCCCTTGTCCCACACCAACACACACTCCAAGCCAGAGATAAATTACAGCATTTAATTAACAGACANTCAGGGAAAAGGGCGGCATATAAATTTCCAATAAAATCTAAAAAAATCTAAAATCTAATATGGATTGATAATATCATTCTGATTTTATGGGTTCTCACTGTTGTGGCCCGCTGGAAGCCAGCAAGGCTGGCAGCAGAGTCGGACCGTGAGGAGGTTGGGGAGGAACATGGGCCAGTCCTGTGGGTTGAGAAAAAACTCTGACAAGGGCTCTGCGTTGGAGGCAGAGAGGGAGCTAGACAGCAGTGAGGCAGAGGAACAGCTGGAGCCTGTTCCCGGTGTGCGCATGCGCAGAGCTGCCAGAAGACAAGAACAACGAAGAAAGCAGGGTCGACTTAAGAGTAAAGCCACACCTTGGAGGTGATTGGCCCCTCCCATAGGAAACAAAAGGGGAGCAAATGGGGAGGGGGCTTTTTCAGGAAACAATTCATTTCTTCAGTCTTTTCAAGAGTGGAAAGTTCTGTTTGTGACTATAAGAGACTCTGTGCCAAGTTTTGCCTTGCCGTATGTTAGGAAACTAGTTATCTGGCAGCTCTCCCAGCGAGATAAGGTTCGTGTGGATAAACATTCCTCTGAAAGACTGTTTTCCAAACCTTGCTGACTGTGAATGAAAGGAATTCACAGTTGTGTAAATCAAAGAGGTTTTGCCAGGACCAAGAGTGGTGGGCTGCTAACCGGTTTGCTACCGGTTCACTTGTGCTCACACGCGCAATACTTCTGGGTAGAAGCGTCCAAGCGGGTGAGCGCAACCTCCTGCCTCTGCCACTCCCGGTTCGGCCAAACCAGGCCGAACCAGGAGCAACCCCCACCTCTGGTGTGGTGCTCCCCTTGTTTTGAGCCAAAAGACAACCCGTCAGCAGCTGAAAAGTTGGCACTCAAAGGCACCTGAAGACATTTGAGATTGGGAGATGCTCTCCCTGCCCCTCTCGGTGTCATCTAAGGAACATTTTTAATGCACCAAACCGGGTCCCTCTTAACTCCTACAGAAAGATAATCCTGGACTTAACCGCAGTTTGTGATTGTTCACAATTACAACAGCACTGAAAAAAAGTGACTTACCGTTTCCCCGAAAATAAGGCCTAACTGGAAAATAAAACCTGGCATGATTTTTGAGGATGCTCGTAATATAAGCCCTCCCCCCTGAAATAAGCCCCAGTTAAGATTGTCAGCCAGTATTGTATTTCCCCCAAAATAAGACCTGATGCGTCTTTTGAAGCAAAAATTAATATTAGACCCAGTTTTAATATAAGACCCGGTCTTATTTTCAGGGAAACAGGGTACAGTCATTTCTCACACTTAACAACGTGGTCAAAATTCAGATGTTTGGCAGCTGGCTCATATTTATGACGGTTGCGGTGTCTTTTTTTGTGACCACCTGACAAGCAAAATCAAAGGGGAAGCCATATTCGCTTCTCAACCATCTATCTAACTTAATCTGCAGCGATTCGCTTAATAACCGTCTAAAAAAATAATAATCAGGAAAGGCGACAAAAGTCACTTCACAAATGTCTCCCTTAGCAGGAGAAACGTTGGGCCCAATTGGGATTGTAAGTCAAGGACTAGCCATGTAAAAAAGTTGTGTCCGTGAGTGAATTATTTATTCTGAAGGATTGAATATTCCCTGCCTCTTTTATTTATCTCCATTCTCCCAGAATGAAGGAGTGTGTATTTTCCATTCACACACAAAATATATATTTGAATATAGGTGCTTTTTAAAAAAAAAACAATTGTCAAGTTGTATCTTGCAATTCTGTTCCAGAATTGTGGGTGTCTTTTATTTTTATTTTTAACAAGTCACTGCTTTAAGAATAACAGTCGTTCAACTGTTTTATCCGGATACTAGTTTTATAAGATAATCCTTCCTGCAGGGTTTTATCGGTAAATTCCTAACCATTCTGTCTTCTGTAAACAATTCTGTAATTTGTATTGAATCTGTCTGTGTGTGAACTTTTTCCTTTGTGGATAAAGTTAACAACGGGCAAGCTTTTATTTTATTTAAACTCCTTAAATAAACAACCTAAGAACAAAACAATATTTACAACAATAAAAACAAGAGAGACAGTATAAAAAAAAACAAAGTGGAATTAAGGAACCCACCTTCCCATTTTTTTCAGGACATTGCATAAAACAAACAGAATCCTGCTAATAAAGATTGTGATATGTGAGGTTTTTTTTAAAAAAAAAAATCAGGTATTTTTTAAAAAAATAATGTGAGTCAGATTGCTAACAATGGGAAAAAAAGCAGGGAAGGGAGACTTAAGAAAATATTTTGAAAAGACTAGATTTAAATCTAAAAACAAACCACTAATAGTAAAACAAACCCACAAAAGATTTTTGGTTCCCTTCCATTCTCAACTTTGAACCACCTATTCTTCTAACGCACTGCAAGAGTCCTTTTAAATATTAAAATATTAAAAATAAAGGGATCTTTACAGGTAATCCTCAACTTTACAACCACAATTGCACCCAAAATGTACATGGCTAAGCGAAACATCTATTAAGTGAGTTTTGCCTATTCTTAAAACCTTTCTTGTCACAGTTGTTAAGTGAATCACTGCAGGTGTTAAGATAGCAACACGGCCGCTAAGTGAATCTGGCTTTCCCATCGACTTTCCTTATCAGAAGGTCACAAAAGGGGATCACCTCTTCTTTTAATGACTCCCATAATCCCTTGTGGGCTGAATCAGGGCAACTGAATGGAGCTGAATGTTTACTGGCCAGATGCCCTTCCTGTTGCCAATGCGGAGTTTTGTTCGGCAGATATATTCTCATTGTGCCCAGAGAGAGAAATATCTGCCTCTACCTAGGACTCGCAGCCTCCAGATTGTGAGGTGAGAGCTCCACCTGTAGGCCACCGCGCCACTCTACAGCAGGGGATCACATGACTCCGGCTGTTACTACTGTCATAAGTACATGCCAGTTGCCAAGCATCTGAAGTTTGATCACATGACCATGGGGACGCTGCAAGTGTGATAAACGGTCACAAATCACTTTTTTCCGTGCCATCGTAACTTAGAAGGGTCGCTGTAAACGAACAGTATTGAGTTGAGGCCCCATGAATCAACTAGGGCATTTTTTGGAAACCTGACAGTGTATCTGATCCCACTTTCCCATTTACCAGCCAGCTTTCCTCTGAATTCACCCTCTGGTTGTCTCGGGCTGCTTTTCACACTTTCTGTGTTGCCTCTCCCTAGGACAACCCTCCATACGACAAGGGGGCCTTCAGAATCGAAATCAACTTTCCTGCAGAGTATCCATTCAAACCTCCCAAGATTACATTTAAAACGAAAATCTATCACCCTAACATTGATGAAAAGGGGCAGGTTTGTCTGCCGGTAATTAGTGCTGAAAACTGGAAACCAGCCACCAAAACTGATCAAGGTAAGAGATTCTCCCGTCTCCATTTCGGGCCTCTCGATTTCTATACGAGTATCTTCATTTTGGAAAGAGCTTTTCTCCCAGGGTCCTGGATCTCAAGAGCACAAGCCACGCTGGGCTTTTAAAATCTTGCGATGGGATCCCTTTTGAGGGCGAAGGACTTCTGATTTTTCTCGTCCTTCCCTCCCTGGCTTAGTTTTTAAAAATCTGAATTTTATCACAAAGGATAAAAAGAGGAGAGACTTCCAGGCAGCTACGTCTGAAAAACAATTTGTCCAATATTGGAGGCGTCTACGATCGGCCTTATTTGTCATATCTCTTGAATAAAACCCCAGCTAGGGGGCTGTAAGGTGTTTTAGTACGCTTTCAGCCAATTCTTAAATGGTTTATTGTAATAGTTCAGGGGTCGACAACCTTAAACACTCAAAAGAGCCTATCCGGAAGCCTCCCCCTCCCCCACTGAATTCTGGAGCTGACCGGTAGTCCCGTTCCCCCACCATAGAGTCTCCTCCTAGTGCGGCATCCTTTCTCCTCTGCCGACCGGAAGTCCAGTTCCCCCACCATAGAGTCTCCTAGTGCGGCATCCTTTCTCCTCTGCCGACCGGAAGTCCAGTTCCCCCACCATAGAGTCTCCTCCTAGTGCGGCATCCTTTCTCCTCTGCCGACCGGAAGTCCAGTTCCCCCACCATAGAGTCTCCTCCTAGTGCGGCATNTGTGTGTGTGTGTGTGTGTGTGTGTGTGTGTGTGTGTGTGTGTGTGTGTGTGTGGTGGCATTTTAGTTGTTCTAATTTAAAAATTGTGACAGATAAAGGTGTGTTATGCATGTGTGTATTTCTTCTAGCACTGAAAACCCTAATTGCTTGTACTCAAAAGAGAATTACATCTCACCATAGCATTTACTTGCACACTATTCTTGCTTCCATATTTTCTGTTATTCTGGTCCTTCTTATGAATGACACAGAAGTTCAGTAATAATCTTGAGAGTAGCAAGGTTTTCAGAAACAATTCCTAGTTAAATGTTAATGAGTGTTCTCCAATACCAGAGTTCAAAAACTTCAATACTCTTCCTATGCTACTATTTCAAAGTCCAAATTTCACTTTCATAGAACATCATAGGAAAATCCCATGGTTAGTATGATTTGGATGTTGTCCAGCTAACTAGGATGCCAATAGCCTGACTTCCTGAAACCAGGACAAAATTCAGTACTTAGAGAGCTGTAATATGAGGAAATTTATATGGTCTACATTGCACAATGATAATGAAATGATTCCTTTAAATTTTGAGATTCCAAAATTTATTTTTAGGAAATTGAGGGAGATTCAGGAAAATTAAGGTTTTGTTTCATTTTCTCCATCTAATGATTCTGATTCTTTGGGTCTAGCTCATGTTTTTTTTAAATATGTGAGAAGTAAAACAAGCTTCATAACCTCTTGTTCTTATCTAATTAGGAGCCACTCACAATTCAAAAATTTAATTGTCAAATTATATTTTTCAGAAAACACATATTTTCTACGTATCCACATGTTGTATCTATAATAAAGTTGAAGGGTTCTCATTTTAGCAGTGGAATAACTACCCTTTTCAAGCACCAATTATCACAGAAGAATAATTTGCCAGGTTTTCAAGAAACAAAGCAACTAAAATGGGAAATAAGCCATTATTCTATTCACACAAAAAGGAATAGGAAACAGTGCTGCTTATATAGCCTCTTTCATGTCCAGACTAGTATTTGACATGGAAAGTCTTTGCTATTTAATTTAAGAAGGAGAAAGATTTGCTCTCTTACAGAAATTCAAGCTATTTAATTCTTTTCAGGATGGTGCATTTCTTCACAAATGGTGGATCAAAGACTAATACTTTCTGACTCCTGACTGTGGCTCTATTGTGTAAAGGCACCTGGATTTAAGACAGAATAAAAATAAGGTTAAAAAAAATAAAATCACAGAAATATAAACAACCACGTTTTTAAAAAGAAATCTGCAACTGTAGGCATTTTTTACTGTATAAATAAATAATTTTACATGTTCAATCAAAATAAAATACTGACTATAATATCTCAGTTTTGAATCAGCTCTATGCCAAGCACCTGCAGAAAATAAAATCCTTACATCAAACAACATTAAATATTCAATAGCTGAATATCTCCATATTTATATGTGATTGTAACTATATTTATGTTGTTTACACCGGCAGTAAAAGACTTACCATTGTTTATTTTGCTTATGTTGAGTTTGTTTCATTATAACATAATGTAATATATACTAAATCCTCTCAGACAGAATAAAATTAAAAATAATGTAAAACTAGGGAATAACCTGCTCTTTAAAAATATGCATCACTATTTTCTGCCATTTGTGTATTTCATTTTTTGTGGTTAAAATATATTCCCTGTGACAATTTGATAGATTACTAATGTCAAATTGCTAAATAAGTTGTACCTTTTTTAAAAAATCTCACTAGCTGTAATTTATTTTTTGCTGTATAGTATACACTTGAGACTTTTCAAAGGCATGTTCAGCTGTGAATATTTGCAATAACTGTCTCAAACAGCACTCAACTAAACTGATCTATTTTTTTTATCCTCCAGAAAACTGTAATCTCAATTTTTTTGTACAGTATATAAGTATAGAGCCAAGGTGGCGCAGTGGTTAAATGCAGCACTGCAGGCTACTGCTAGATCAGCAGTTCAGCGG